GACGTGTGCTTTTAAGTGAATGGGTAGAAGATCAAATCAAATTCAGTGTATTTCCTAAAGACTAAATGGAAAAAAAAAAAAAAAGGAGTGGTACAGGAGTGGGAGTCATTCTAAATGGGAGCAGTCATGTTACCAGGAGTGGGGCAGGACAGGATTTTTTTCTGCGGGACCAGGACAGGACAGGAGTGAAAATCCACTCCTGTGTCATCCTGATGACACAAAAGTCACAAAAATCACACATAGATCGCCTCCAATTTTCATGTTTTCTTCACCAGGTTCTCCGTACAGGGATAAAATCACCATCGCCATCCTTCAGCTGCAAGAGGAAGGGAAGCTCCACATGATGAAGGAGAAGTGGTGGAGAGGAAACGGCTGTCCAGAGGAAGACAACAAGGAGGCCAGTGCTCTGGGTGTTGAGAACATTGGAGGGATCTTCATTGTTCTGGCCGCTGGGCTGGTTCTGTCTGTTTTTGTGGCTATCGGAGAGTTCATCTACAAGGCCCGCAGGAACGCAGACATCGAGGAGGTGAGTGTCGCTGAGAACAGCTGGAGATCCGAGACTGATGACTGTGAATGCAGCAGATTAAAACTAAATGATTTCATGAAAAGTTTGTTGAAGTTCAACAATCTTATTGTGGACTACTCAACATTAGGAGGTAGAAATGAGAAACCTTTAGGTTATTTGATGCTTACTACTTATTCTTGATCTATACATCTTTTAATTACTTTTGCTTACTTTTTAGTTTTGAACATATTTGTGCATGCAGTTGTTTGTAAGAGGCACTTATTCAGACGTCTTCATGCCTTTTTACACTAAACTGGAGGTTTTTCAGCTTTAAAACATAAATAACTTAATTCAGTTGCTGGTATTTGTACAACTTTAATATTCTCAAATATCTTAGCACTGGATTTTCTCATATATAAAAGACACATTATCATTCCATTTAATGTATTTATCATAGGCAAATAAGGAGCAAGACTTCCATGCACATGTTTTGTTTATTCTGTTGGCCATATTTTCTTTGTGTTATTTTCGTTCTTTATTTTTTCATCATCACAATACTGAAACACTTACGTTCATCTTCTTTATGTTTCCTTCTCCATCCATTTTTCTTTTGCGTCAGGCCTTTTGTTTCTTTTACGGCTTGCAGTCTCGTCAGTTTCAGCGCCGTGGCTCCACCTCCTCCTCCGACAGCTCTTTATCTAACGATTTGGAGAGCGGCAGGCTGCTGGGGGATGACACAGAGTAGCCATGGCAGCTCAAACACAGCTGTAAGGTTCTCCACACACCTGGTTTGTAACCAGGTGTCTTTCTGACCTTGTTGAGATGATCCCAATCATATATTTATCTGTGTTTTTTTCCCATCTGTGCCCTGATCAATGACATAAAATGTGTTTTACTGTCCTATTGATGAAATATACAGCTTTTATAATAAGGCCCAAATGAAGTGTTTAAAAACAAGTTCCTACTCTTATTTTCTTAAAGTCACTTGCTATAAAACTAAACATTTCAATCCTCAAACTGTGTGTCCCTGATGTTTTAAGGAAATCCCAAAGGTTGTTTAAAAAGCCTTCGGCAAAACCGAAGAATGAGGAAGAAAGGCTTTCTGTGAGTTTAAAGATTAACAGATAAAAAAATGTCTTTCTGTGCAAACAATGAAGTCCCCAGCTAAAGAGGAGAGAAACAAAAAGGAAGAAAATAGATAATTAAAAATTAACGAGTTTCTAATGATTTCCAATATTGTGCAGCTCCAAATAAGCCTGAGGTTTTAGAAAAGCAGATGGTCATTTCTTTCATCATTTAGAATAATTACCAGATCATTACCTCGCTAATTGATTTAATCATCCTGAAAAATAAAGAATTTACAAGGAAACGTCATTTTAGAACCTGGATATGAAATGTCACAGCTTTTATAGATAAACGAAACACCGTTTTATCATGTGTTTTATACATCTAGGCAGTCTATCATGATAAAGAAACATTTAGCTTCTGACAACATTTTTAACACATTTTAAAACCCAAGACAATAATTCATGAACATTATTACATTTACTGGTGTCCTAACTGTTGTTGTTGTATTTTTTTTGGCAGTGCATGTCTTTTAGTGCTGTGATGGAGGAGTTGGGCATATCCCTGCAGTGTTACAAAGGCATCCGCATCAGGTCACGACCACACGGTGCTGCCAAGTCTCCTTGCGTCTTCTGTCTGCCCAAACGGGGGATGAAAAAAGAAGGAGGGAAACAAGACTCCAGCACGTAAACTGGCACAAACAAATGATCAAATAAGCAACAGAGACTGGTATAAATGATGCTCCTCTTCTTTTTTACTGTTGACTGAATGAGCAAATAATGCATTAAGGACTATATAGTAGATATGCTGTAGTTTACAGAATCAAAGCCTGTTACAAATAATATGTTCAAACAGATGAGACTAAAATGTTTCTTTTGGAACATTGCTGCTCTCTCCTGGTTTTCATTATGAGCAGGTTGCAGAGCTGAATCTGCAAACTTTAAAAACTGCCCCTTTGTGTGACTGTACAGCAACTTCATAAACATTAAGAATAAAAACTAATGTTATATATATATTTTTTTTTTGTTGCGTTTTTCATAACTGTTGCATGAATGTTTGTTGTTGCTGACTGCTGTGCATGTGACTTTGTTTGCATCCTGGTATCCTGCACAGTAACTTCAGAATGATTCACTGAGCCAACCATAGCCAGCGAAGAGCGATAACGACCTCTGAGAGGAGATACGAGCACGCCTGCTGTTTCAAATCTCAGAGCTTCACAGACATCAAACCAGACGCACACACACATGGAGCGACGTGCAGCCTCACAAAGACATGAGGCACGAAGAAGGGACGGGCAAAATGAGAAGAAATTTGTTTTAAAATGCAAAAATATACACACACACACACACACATA